AATCCATTGCTCAAGAAGTTCATCCCTACTAATTGTGTAGTCTTTTGCATATAATGAGCAAGATAAGAAACAATTTTGGATATTTGAATCCTGCAAACGATCATAGCTAAACTTCAACCACTCAAAAATCTCGTCCTCTGAATGTTGGGCTATACCTCTTACATGTTCACGTAATTCTTTTAAAGGCATCCCTCTATACATGAACATCATTTACTCCTTTCATGCTCCCAGCTATTACAACAATGGCCAAGGGTAGTCCAGCACACTCCTCTACCATAAGTTTCAAAATTCCCTCAAATTCTGGAACTTTTAGGATATCTTTTCCCACCTTATCTAAGAATAAATTCAAAGACTCTTGCTTGGAAAGGGGTTGAACTTTAATAACTTGACAACCTAAGAAATTGCATACATCCACCTTTCTGCTTGTAATAATTAGCTTGCAACCATTTCCTACTGTTGGTAGCAGGATTCCTACATGCTCAAGTTGGAACCTGTCCCACACATCATCTAAAATCAACATATATTTCCATTTTCCCATAATATTCATTAATCTTAAAGCTTGTCTTTGCTCATCCTGATCATCCCCTGGTAGGTTTTCATTCATTCCCTTAGCAATTTCGTGTTGTAAGCTCGCTACATTAAGTGGGCTTTAGACAATGGCCCAAATCACTTTATCAAATCTTGATCCTTTTAGTAACTCATTATAAGTATGCTTCATACTGGTGGTCTTTCCAACTCCCTAATGCTACAAACTCCAATCATTTGAACATCATTGCTGGTCAAGTATTACCATATCTTTTCCTTCACAATAGTCTCACTATCTATATTCTTTCCTGGTAAAGGCAAGGTAGTTAAAGGCTTATCAACTACTAAACCTTCAGGAAAAATACCTCGTTGAAAAATTGCATCCATTGCATTTATTTTTTCATAAACAAGTTTTCCAACGCGAGCTCGTGAGAAGTATGAAGCATTGCACACAATCCTTTCTCCAACATCTTGAATTTTAACATTGATCCTCTATGCTTCTTGAAGCCATGACCCCATCTCTTCTTTGCAATGTTTTGTTGAGCAAACCTCAGCTTGTGGTTGTCTTTCTATATCTTCTTGTCAACGACTTAAAATTCTCAATTTGCTTCTGAGATCTTTCGCATCTTGTTTGAAATTTCTATGATAATCTACACACCAACATGTTGGAATTGCTATACACTTTATGATCTCAAGAATTAGAGTTGCAACGTCCGTCATTCAAAAAATTCCTAAAATGTGACACCAATTGAGCAACTAAGTTGTTGTTTCCTTCAGATAAAGAGAAAATATAAATAAGGTGAGTAAGCTTTGGTCATAGGTGGATTCATTGACTCGTGTTGGGTTATTTAATTTGATTGTCTTATGTTCTATATATATATATATATATATCACCTTGGTTCTGAGTCAAAGATCATTTATCAGGCTACAGAATTTGTGAGAAAATCTGAGTTAAAAATGAATTGGTCTTTGAAGAAGACTAAAAGCAAGAGATGTAAAGAATACTAAATCTGTATTCGTTTTTTCCATAATCAATTAGTATAGCACTAAGATATATATATATATATATACAGCAATACAGAAATATATTTGTATCTATCTGTGCCTGATATTAAGGTTATGAACGTTGCCATTTGATCGTTGCATCAATGTGCTTTGCCTTTGATTTTGGTGAGATAGTTTCCATTTCTTTCTTGATGATTGTTTCCTTATCTGATTCAAGTTTTAATTCCTCAAATTATGGTTTTGATTCCTCAAGCTTAGCTTCCTTCTTCACACTCCCCCTCAAACTGGATTGGGGAACCAATCCAAGTTTGAATCGTAAAAGCTGATATTGAGTTCGAGGTGGGGCTTTGTTAGGATGTCAGCAATTTGATCAATGCTTGGTATGTACCGGGTTATGAGTGTGCCAAGTGCCACTTTCTCTCTAACAAAATGATAATCCAACTCAATATGCTTGGTCTGAGCATGAAACATAGGGTTAATGGACATGTGAAGAGCACTTAGATTATCAGAAAAAATTTGAGGTGGATGTGCAAAGGAAATGCCAATATCACGGAAAAGGTAAGTAATCCATACAATCTCTGCCGCGGTTGATGCCAAGGCTTTGTATTATGCTTCTGTAGAGGAATGAGCAATGGTGGGATGTTTCTTTGAAGACCATGAGATACAATTAGCTTCTAGGAAAATGCAGTAACCTGTTGTGCTTCTCCTTGTAAGTGGATAGCTTGCCCAATCTGCATCATAGAACCCTATTAGGGAGACTGTGCTGGTAGAGTAGAATCGAAGTCCATGATGAAGGCTCCCTTTGACATATCTTAGAATCCTTTTGACTTGTCGAAAATTGGCAATTGTCAGTTGTTGCATAAACTGACGTACTTTATTAACAGCATGGGCAACATCTACACTTGTAATAGTTAGGTACTGAAGTGCACCCACAATCCTTCTGTACTCTTGTGGATCAACTAGTTCTTCATGTCGTAAGGTCGTAGTTTCCTTGATAGCCATTAGCGTAGCGATTGTAGAAGCCTTAAGCATGGAGGCTCGTGTAAGGACATCATTTGCATACTTACTTTGGGATAAAAATATGCCACTAGAGAACTTTTGCACTTTTATCCCTAAGAAGTAACTAAGGGAACCAAGATCTTTAAGGGCAAATTTCCCACTAGGATTCTCAACAATGTGTTGTAGTAGTGTTTTAGAGCTTGCAGTAAGCACAATATCATCCTCATAGAGAAGTAGTAAAGCAGTGTGATGATCCTTATAGGGTACAAATAGAGAGGAATCTACTCTACTACAACAGAATCCCATTGTCAGTAAATAAAAGGTGAATGTATCAAACCAAGCCCAAGGTGCTTGTTTGAGACAATAGATGGACTTGTTAAGTTTGCAGGCATACTCAAGATGACTTGGGTCCTTGAATCTAGGTGGTTGTGTCATGTAGACTACTTCTTTGAGCTCACCATGAAGGAAGGCATTCTTTACATCGAGTTGGCGTAAAGGCCATGATAAAGTTGTAGCAATGGCAATAACTAGACGCAAGGTGGTTGATTTAAGAACAGGGCTGAAAGTTTTATCAAAATCTACACCAAGTATCTGAGAGAACCCTTTTGCAACTAACCATGCCTTAAATCTGTCCACAGTCCCATTTGGCTTGAGTTTTATCTTAAAAATCCATTTTGAACCCACAGTGCTTGCCTTGGATGAAGGTGGAGGAACTAGTGTCCAGGTGTTATTCTTATGAAGTGCCTTAAGCTATTCTTGCATTGCATTGACCCATTGTGGAAGTTGTAAAGCCTGTCTCACATTTTTGGGCTCTTTAGTGTCTAAATCTGCATTAGACAAAGAAGAAATATCAGTGGTCATGGTGTAAGCATGTTTTGAAAAATCAGTTTTGACATGACCAATATGCTTCCCTGTTCGAGATCTTGTTATAATAAGATGAGTGGAAGTTGATGTAGCATTGTGTGGCGGAGGTGGGATCCCTTCATAACTTGAGCTAGAAGTCATGCCATCTTGTCTTATTTCACCTTTATGAGGCTACTGAGACGTGGAAAACGATTGTTTCGAGTTGAACACCTCATTAGTTTGGTGAGGTTCTGCCTTTTCTTGAGAACTAGGAGTTGGGGTATCAATAGTCTGAGTATTGTTGGTGGTAAGAGTCTTATGCACTGTATTTGATTGAATATAATCTCTCTCGATTAGCTCTTCAACAGACACCTCATTCAAAATATTTGTTGCATTAGGATTAGCATTGGTTTGTTCATCCTTAGGACCATCAATGTCAATGTTTGTGATGTGTTCATGTTGAGAAGGCATAGACACATGCTTTTCTAGTTTTTGTGAGGGTTGTACATGAGAGAAACTTTGTATCCATTCATCATGATCTGGGTATTTGCAAAGTTCGCCACCTATACTAAAAAAACTTGAAACTTTTGTTAAATCATTATATGGAAGAAAATGTTCATCAAATACAACGTGCCTAGAAATATAGATACACTTTGTAGGTGGGTGCAAGCACTTGTATCCCTTGTGAATGGAACTGCATCCAAGAAACACACATGGTAAGGACCTTGGTTAGAGCTTATGAGCAGCATGATCTCTAAGATATGGAAAACACCTACATCCAAAAACTTTAATCATGGAGTAGTCAAATACTTTACCATATAACAGAAAGTAGGGTGTTTTGTTTTGCAAGGTGGGTGTAGGCATTCGATTTATAAGAAAGACTGCTGTAGAGAAGCTGTCTACCCAATAACATGGTGGCATGTTGGCATGGAGTAACATGGTTAATCCTGTCTCAACTATATGTTTATGCTTCCTTTCTGCAACACCATTTTGTTTAGGGGTGCCAGGACATGATACCCGTTGTTTAATGCCACAAGTTGCTAAATGATTTATGAATATCTTGCTGGAAAATTGTCCACCACCATCGCATTGGAAAATTTTGATACTTTTATTGAATTGATTTGCTATCAACCTTTGAAACTTCTGGAAAACATCAAAAAAAGTCAGATTTCCTATGAAGAGGGTAAAACCAAGTGAATCTACTATAATCACCAACAAAAATGACATAGTAAACAAAATGATTAGTAGATTGAACAGGAGAGGGTCCCCATAAATCACAATGTGTCTTTTGAAACAAACTTTCAGCTTTTTCATTATTCTTAGTGAAAGGAAGTCTACAACTCTTCCCCATTTGACAACTAGAGCACAAGCTAGGGGGTTGAGTCCATTTTGACACCACAATATTCTTTTTAGAAGCTAAAGCCTTAAGCATGTTGGCATTTGGATGCCCAAGTCTTTGATGCCGAATAGAGCCTGTAGCCTTATTTGAGATAGCTGCCAGGGCATGTTTTTCTCCTTCCTCCAATGCATAGAATTGCCCTTTTCGAGTTCCTTTGGCCAGCACAACCTGTGTTACTTGGTCCTTAATCACAAAGCCATCAGATGAGAATTCAAAAATACATGGATTTTCATCAATAAATTTACTAACTAAAATGAGATTTTTCTTAAGTTCAAGAACAACAAGAACATTATTAAGATTTAATGCACCAACAAATGTAGAGCCAACATGAGAAATATTCAATGGAATACCATCACCTGTGAGAACCTTTTGATTACCATAATACGGTCTTTTAAAATAGAGTTTACCTGAATCTAAAGTCATATGATTAGAGGCACCAGTGTCAATATAGTAATTTGTATCTTTATCCTTCATCAAGGTGAGTGCTGCTAGTGCTTGAGGAAGTTCTTCACTTTGATAGGCATGGTCAAATCTATACCAACACTCTAGAGCAGTATGTCTAGCAATTCTGCAAATTTGGCACACATTCTCACCTTTTTGAGATAAGTTTTTCTGCCAATCTTTTTGGGCCATGACTTATGATGTTGAATTATTGTTGGTTATGGTCCCTTTGTTGTTACTAGACCAATTGTAATCGTAGTTGCCAACCTGACCAAAACCTCTACCATGTGAATTGAAGTTCCTACCACCATATCCTTTGCCACATTGGCCTCTTCCCCTCTATGTCACAAATACTTGAGCATATGGTAGAGTTTTATCCTTACTTTCTTGCTCAGCTACCTGCAAGTCTAGATCATTATTTTGTAAACCTGCTATATATTGATTAAAAGTAAGGTATGGTGCCTTTGATAGTACTGCTCGATTGTAGGGTTGAAACCGTGTTCCTACTACCCTGGATAAGTGAAATACTTTATCCAAATCATCAAGGGGTTTGCAGATTACTACAAGCCTATCACAAACTCCCTTGAACTTTCTTATGAAGTCTTCAAGAGACTCATTATCTTCTCATTTGGTCACCAATTGCCCTTTGAGATAGAGTTCCTATTCCTTAGAGGAGGCAAGGTAACATTCCTCAAGGCATCTCCAGATTTGGTTGCTGTATTACACCTCACAACTAGACTCAGTACTTCTTCATTCATGGTTCCGAGTAACCAACTCATAAGCAATCCATCATTGTTCAACCAGATTTCATGCTCTGGATTGGATTCTTTGTTCCCATCCTCTGTGAGAATCATGGCAGGGGCTTCCTTTTCAAGATGATGGAGAAGTTGAGCACTTCAAATTAGAAGGAAGACCTGAGATTTCCAGGGTAAGAAGTTGGTATTTGAAAGCTTGACCGAAACCAAGCTTGCCATTTGGTGAAAGCTTTGAATGGTAAGCCTAGACCCATTCGTTGTCATTTTTCTGATTTGAGGATTGTTTTGATTGAGTAATTGAAGCAAAGATTCAGATGAAAAGGATGAAGGATTAAAGTTTTCAGATGCAGATGTTAACCTACTCTGATGCCATGAAGAAGACTAAAAGCAAGAGATGTAAAGAATACTAAAGCTGTATTCCTTTTTTCCATAATCAATTAGTACAGCACTTAGAGATATATATATATATATATATAT